CTGGTGAAGAAGAGGACAGCAGATACAAGAATCATGAAAAACAGGCTCTGGTGTGTAGAACAGACTTGCGATAAATTATTTTACACCAGTCGTTGTGATTCTGCAGTATCGCTCAGTTACACAATCTGAAGCATCCATTATTTATATTAGCATTGAGAGTTTAAAGGACAGTGGTGGATCAGGATTTTAGATCATTCATTTATGAAGAAAAAATGTGAAGCTCTTTTATGTTCCTCCTTGTTTTTGTTTTTGTTTTTTTGCGTCAGCCTTGTCTTTGATGATGGGAGCTGTACTTGCACAGGGATGTGGACATGCAGCTGTCTAATTTAATGAGAGACCCACAGGAAGCCCATGTCAGGCACCCATGCCCCGTGGAGACAGGAAGTGGTTTGATTAAGAGAGAAGTTGCTGCAGTGAACGGCAACTGTGAGAAGGGCTGTTGAGGGTTTTCTTTATTTCCTTTGTCTTTCATCTTTCATCTTTTTTGTCTGACATTAGAGTCTGTTTTCATACCATCATCCGTCACCGTCATTAGAAATGTAATGTGTGTGTGTATATATATAAATTGAATGGTTGGTTTCATGTAGTTTTTAAACTTTTATGCCATTTTCAAGAAAATTACATAAAATGGTATAGAGTCATTTTCAATTTATTGACTCTAAAAATGTCATGTGGTGTAACCATCAAGTAAAAAACAGTAACATATTTTCCTTATACCTTGAATACATGTATACACATCTTAATCATTATTTTCAAAAAAGTTTTTCAATATATTTTTTAAGGTAAAAGTATTTTTTATGGATAATGTAAATTATTAATTCATAAATATAATTCATTTTTGGGAAGTCACACCACATGACATGTTAATTAGTTTGGCCTTGTAATAAAAAGGCCAAATCTGATATTTGTGAAACTTATTGACCTTGACAAACACACTTTGATTTTGCAGTCAAATGTTTTTCAAATACTAATAAGATGGTTTGTTATTTCATTCATTTAATGAAATCACAAAAAACGTACAAAAAAGTGCAAAGGTGCAGAACGTTTTCGGGTATTAACATGGCACTGAGGAAGGGTTAATACCCGAAAACATTCTGCACCTTTGCACTTTTTTGTACGTTTTTTGTGATGTCTGAGCAATAAATGTAATAGGCCTTTTTGGCTGAATTTGGACGAGTGCGGATCTCTTTCATCTCTATATCCCCCCAAAAGTATTAAAATTAATTCGGGAACATGTTTATCATATACGTATGTGAGTATGTGAGACACAGGCATGCAAAGTGTCTCTGTGTTCAAGTCTGAAGTATTTATATACTAGATGTGTGAAAAACACTGGGTGTGAGACTCTTACTGCAGTCAGGCACATGGGTCAGCAAAAGCCTCCGAAAATGAAATTTGCAAAAGGAGGAAAAACACACACACACCATTTCCTGACTGTGCACCACAGCCAGATAGTATAACTGCAGCTGACTCTGCAGATCAGGGCTTGTGAAAGTAATTGAACTCATGTAAATGCGTTTGGTTCACAAACCGGCCATTGCTCATGCACACGCAAGAGCTTTTACTCTGATTAAGATCTTTGAGGAAGTTGTCAGAAAATAGTGACCTGATTCTGAAGTTTCATTAAGGCACGAACAGCATTGTTGCAAAATAACGTTTGTGTAATAGTGTTAAACTTTATTTCTGCTAGGAAATTCATGTTAAGCTGGTTGGTGTGTTTTGGAACAAGTTATCATACTATCTCAAGGAGGAGTTCAGGCTGGTTTTTGGAGCATGGTGGCTGGTCAGTCAACTAATGACCAGCGTAGACCAGTTAGAAACCAGCTAGCATGTTCCAAAACACAGCTGGATTTTCCATCCGTGATGATAAAATTTTACTGGCAAAAACACAGAATAGGCCAACATCTAAAGAACAGCCCTTCACAAGAAGGCTAATCACAGCTAAACAACAACACTCTGTTTCAGAAGAGAAAACTGAAGCCTCTCTTTCTCATTTGTTTATTTCCTGACTGTGCACCACAGCCAGATAGTATAACTGCAGCTGACTCTGCAGATCAGGGCTTGTGAAAGTAATTGAACTCATGTAAATGCGTTTGGTTCACAAACCGGCCATTGCTCTTGCACACGCAAGAGCTTTTACTCTGATTAAGATCTTTGAGGAAGTTGTCAGGAAGTTGTCAGAAAATAGTGACCTGATTCTGAAGTTTCATTAAGGCACGAACAGCATTGTTGCAAAATAACGTTTGTGTAATAGTGTTAAACTTTATTTCTGCTAGGAAATTCATGTTAAGCTGGTTGGTGTGTTTTGGAACAAGTTATCATACTATCTCAAGGAGGAGTTCAGGCTGGTTTTTGGAGCATGGTGGCTGGTCAGTCAACTAATGACCAGCGTAGACCAGTTAGAAACCAGCTAGCATGTTCCAAAACACAGCTGGATTTTCCATCCGTGATGATAAAATTTTACTGGCAAAAACACAGAATAGGCCAACATCTAAAGAACAGCCCTTCACAAGAAGGCTAATCACAGCTAAACAACAACACTCTGTTTCAGAAGAGAAAACTGAAGCCTCTCTTTCTCATTTGTTTAAGGTTGTCAAGCTCCCCGTAACTTTCCTCAGTGTTGTTCAGCCGTGTGTTTGGTTCGTGGTCTTGGCTCTGGTGTTGTATGGCATAGTCACAGCAGGGAGAATGAATTGCTGGCAGACCCGTGCTGTGCTCGTCCTGGCGGCTGTACGAGTGAGCTGGAAAAGCGTAACATGTTGTGAGGCATCTTTTTTCCTCAGTCATGTGTGAGCTCTTAAATGAGACGAAAAGAAATGAAAAGATTAGTCATTTTGCATTACCACTTTGAGAGAGATTCAGTCGCTGAATGTCATCTACTCTTGTTATGCAGTAACAGATGGCTCCTTGCTGTCATATACAATATCTAATAGGCTGGCATAAGAGGAAATTAATACTAATATAAAGTGATGAGTAAGTGTTTGAATGAATGAATGAGCAAGTGACTGAGTGAATGAATGAATGTATAAGTCAGTGGATGAATAAATGAAAGTGAAGAGGTGTGTAAATGAGTGAGTGATTGAAAGAGAGACTGGGTGAATGAGTAAATATGTCAGGAAATGACTGACTAAATGTGTGATTATATGAATGATTTAGTGAGTGAGTGAACAAATGAATGAATTTGTGATTAGATGGATGATTGAGAGCTGGAGTGAAGCGATCGGAGAGTGAAAGAATAAATTAAATAATTGAATGAATAAGTCAGTGGGTGAATGGAAGAATGAATGAATAAGTGACTAAATGAATCACTCTGAGTGAAAGAATGAATGAATGAGTAATTGAATTAATCTTTCAGTGAGTGAAAAAATAAACAAATCAGTAATTGAATGATTCAGTGAGTGAGTGAAAGAATGAACAAATCACTAATCAGTCAGTGAAAGAATTAATAAAGTTTTTATGCACGATATTAATAATACATTTTCAATTAAAATAAAATGTCAAATTTAAAAGCCCTAAACTGAATGGTAAATGCTGTGATATGTAATATGAAAATAAATGTACTTTGGGTTTATTAGATGTGTCTTTTAATATTAGTTTTATATAGTTGCCAAAAATGACAGGTTTGTCATTTTATACCGACAAACAGTCATGTACAACCCACACCTGTGACTAAATAAACTCAATAAAAATGTCTCCACTCCTTTTCATTGGGTTTATTTTAGTCAGACTTCTTGCAGTGCTGGAAGCAACAGCGCAATAATTTGTGAGTAAATTTCCCTCTCCGCTTCCTGTAAAGTGATGTATCGATGTTCCCTTATTCCCTATGACGTTCGTAGCGTCCTTCGAACGGAACATGTATGCACCCTTCAGATTGGAATCTCCCTTAAGATGGAGGAATACCCGTCTTAGTCCATCTTAGGGCACTTAGGGTGGAATAGAACATATCCTAACTAATTTAGTAAATCAGTGGAAGAGTGAGTGAAAGAATTAATAAAAATGTGATTGGCTGAAGCCATCAGCGAGTGAAAGAATGAATGAATCAAAGAATCAGTGAGTAAGTGAATGAGTGATTGATGGAGTAAGTGAATGAATGGATGAGTTACTGGGTGAGTGAATGAATGCAAAAGTGATTGGATGAATAGGTGAGTGAGCGAACTGATGGATGGATGGATGGAGTGTTTGAATAATTGAGTGAGTCCATATTTGAGTGCCAGTCTCAGATAAATAGACATCCCCCTCCTCAGTGCTGGTCTGTGGCCAACTCTCCTCGATACAGTCCAGTATTCACCACTAACATAACTAATCCTTTCATTAAATCAAGCCTCCCACTAACCTATAAAGAGCTAATTGTGTGGTGAGTTGAGTGTGAGCACACACTCACACACACATATTTAGAGAATCCTACAACTCTTTACGCTCTTTTTTTCCACCTAGTATCTTTTACCACCGCAGCTTTCCAGCTTGCTAACACAGTGTTCCTGTGTTTTCCCTTGGTCACAGATACACATGTGTTTGTGACTGTGTGCATATGTGCGTGTTTGCATGTGTGTGCGCCAATGAATGTTTGGCCTCTCGTGTGTGTTTGCTCAAACTTACAGTGCTGCTGTTCATCCCCAGTGTGAGTTGTCAGGCCATTAGACTGCTTTTAACACCATCTCTTATTTTCACACATCAGTGACAGCACTGTTCTCCTGCACTGGAGCCGTCCCAAAATGCTTTGCTTGCTACGCAGCGTAGGTCCTGAATTTAGACCTTTAGGTCACTTTAAAATAAACACAGTGTGTTTGCAAGCTAGATAGACTGACTTGAACCCTATGCCCTCACCTCATCATCATGTAATAGCTCTATTTTGTCTTTTTAATGGTATGATAACACCAAGCTATCAGTATTGAAGTACTTTGAAGTCTGACTTATTAACATATAGCAGACCTTCATCCGCCTACGGATCTGGTTCTTCAGAACATAATCAGTTTAATCTCATTTTCTCTACCTTTTTCTAGATAGACCTGTGAAGATCAGAAGCAGCACATGATGAAACATGCAGAGGACTCTGAATAGATTAAGGAAGTCATACAGACAGCCTGAAAACTCTTTGGGAAATAACATATTGGTCTTTTCAACAACACCGGACCGTTGTATGACGTTGAAAGAAACGGATGGCAAATGACCAGCCTCCAGACTAGTTTTTATAGACCATAGCCATGGACGTCTAATGGATAAACCTTCAATGAATGTTTTTCTCTTTTGGGTCACTGGGAGCACTGTAGAATGGAGGATCCATTCCAGACATTCTCTCAAGGGTATGTCATGCTAACTCCAAGAAGAATGAGCCATTTTCACCAGATGGAGATATGCGCATGTCGCTACTGAACTGGTCCAATGGTTTATTTGTCTGGACGGAGAACTAATAGGACCCTAAAGAAGAGGAAGTGGCCCTAACTTGACCCATAACAAAGTATGTACATGAAGAGCCAGGCTGAAGTTTAAAGAGTGGGTGAAATGGGAATGGACAGTAAAGTTCTAAACAAAACTTGCTTTGTGGTCTACACCTGGGAAATATGAGACTTTAGTTGACAGACAAAACACAAACAGTTCTTCTTTTTAATCAAAGACATACCCTAGTGACTTCAACAAGCGGTTCTGGCATGGGCGGCCTTTGGCTGATCTTTACGTCTTGTTTTTGATGGTACGCAGAGATGCCCCAACTTTATTGAACTACGTCATCCTACCCAACTTGTTGTTGAGGTTGTCAGTTGTGATGCTGCGCAGGGGTCTGCTGGCTTGGCTGTCACGTGTGGGTGTTCTGTTAGTGGTGGTATGCTGTTGTCTTTCCCTCCTTTATGTCATCACTTGCAGCCCCCATGCTGATGAGCCCATGGCTGGTCAACCCCTGCCCAGGGCTGGAGGGATAGCTATGCCAGGAGGTCCAAGCAGGCCAGGTGGGGTTGGAGGTGCCCCCATCGGCCCTGCTGGACGGGAAGGGTTCCAAGCCCTTCTCCAAGAGCGAGAAGAGCAGCACCAGCAGCATATTGCCAGCCTGAAAAAACAAATTGCTCAACTTAAAGAGGCTCTCCAGGAACGGAGCGAACAACTTAAAGGCATGCAGGACTCTGTGGAGAAGACGGCTGGGAAGGGCACGGTGGGTGACGTGGCTGACGACCACAGTCACAGCGACCTGCAGGAGTTCCTACGCAGCCAGCTGAGCCGGGCAGAGATACACTCTGGCGTTCGACTTCCAAGCGAGTACGCTGTAGTGCCCTTTGAGAGCTTCACCTTACAACGCGTCTACCAGCTGGAAATGGGGTTGACTCGTCACCCTGAGGAGAAGCCGGTGAGGAAGGACCGCAGGGACGAGCTGGGGGAGGTGGTGGAGAGCGCGCTGCATGCCCTCAATGCACCAAATCGAGGTGGAGACAAAACAAAAGCTAGCAAAGTCTACACACCATCAGACTTTATAGAAGGTAAGATTAACAGTTATGCAGTTAACCTGTGTTTGTTTCATCTACTCTGCAAAAAAATTGGTGCTACCCAGTGTAAGACCATGCAGAAGCTGCAGTCACATGTTATTTTAGGGTCCAATTCTCACTATTAACTGATTATTAATTAACTATGACGTTTGCTGCAGTAAACTCCTAATCTGGCAACATTAAAATACTCACTGTTTCAATAGAAATGTATAGGGTTACATTTTACGGTGTCTTGTTACAGTGTAATTATACATTTAAGTACTGAGCAATAATAGTTAAAGGGGTCATATGACGTTGCTAAAAAAGAACATTATTTTGTGTATTTGGTGTAATGAAATGTGTTTATGCGGTTTAAGGTTAAAAACACACATTATTTTCCACATACTGTACATTATTGTTTCTCCTCTATGCCCTGCCTTTCTGAAACGCGTCGATTTTTACAAAGCTAATTGTTCTGAAAAGCGAGGAGTGCTCTGATTGGCCAGCTGTCCAGTGCGTTGTGATTGGCCAAATACCTCAAGCGTGTGATGGAAATGTTACGCCCCTACCATACTGTGATGCCGTGTCCCGTCCGGAGCGACGAGACAGAAACATTAAAACCCATTATAAACAAGGCATTTGCATCCAGTGGGTACATAAGTACTCATTATAATGACTTATACTGTCTTTTTACGCGTTGTGTACATGTGTAACAAGGACACCTTAAAATAAAGTGTTACCCATTATTTTTGCTATTCCATTTAGTGCTGCTAGTGCAGAGGTGACACACTTCACCTCTACGGTAACACAGGAAAACTCTGCAGGTCTCTGGACCATCAATAAAGCCCAGGTCTTTAGTTTGGAGTTTGTCTGACTCTTGTTTGTTTGAGAGATTTAGAGAAAATCTCTCAAAATAATTCTCAGAATTAATTCTCATTCTCAGAACCAACAATAGAGCATCCTGTAGCAGTATGCTAACACGCTAATGCCAGGATGTCCTGTGATGACTAGAAAACATACACAGCTGTTTCATGTTCAGAGCTGTCTCATCTCTACCATTTCCTCTGGAGAGAAAGTGACGCATCTTAGTGGTTATACGCATCACAGGAAATACATTATTCCTGTTGCTATGCACATTGTTTAGTCATAAATAACTGTTACTAGCACCAGAAACTGAAATGCTAGAAATGAGCTATGGTGAAATTTGCATGTACAAACTTTCCAAGACTAGGTGATTGCAATGATACAGTTAGCTAAGCTGAAAACAGAAGGTGAGATTTGCCTGAACGTTACAAACAACTGCTGAATTTTCATGCTAGCTTATGCTGGTCTGTCTAGTCAGTCTTTATTAAGATCCCTTACGGGCAATTTGGATGCAGCGAAACAGACATACAACGGACACATACAATACATTCTTAAAAAAACATGAATACAAAAAAATATAAATAAATAAATTTCCCTAATAATTTCCTTTAGGATCGTTTAACAACCGAATTGCACAGGGGACAAACAAATATTTATACTGGTTACTTTTCATCTTTGGTAGTCTATAGCGAGAACCTGAAAGGAGCACTCTGGATACAAGAAATGTACTGTCCAGGAGCACAGATCAAGCCCGACTCAAAACTTTTCTGTTGAACAAAAATGACAAACTTCTTTGTTCTTTACCTATGATCTTCCTACTAACTGTAACTGTTCTATTTAATGCATTTTTATGTTTCACACTGAGATTTCCAAACCAGCAGCTAATGGAAAACAACAGCACCGGCTCATAGGACTTATAGAGCAATTCCATCGATGTCCTATATTGAATGATCTTAATTTTCTTAAGCAATATAGGCATTGCTGTCCCCTTTTACATACAGTGCTGCTTGAAAGTTTGTGAACCCTTTAGAATTGTCTATATTTCTGCATGAATATAACCCAAAAAATCATCAGATTTTCATGCAAGTCCTGAAAGTTGACAAAGAGAACCCAATCAAACAAGTGAGACAAAAATATGTTCTTTGTCATTTATTTATTCAGGAAAATGATACAATATTACATATCTGTGAGTGGCAAAAGTATGTGAATCTCTAGGATTGGCAGTTAATTTGAAGGTGAAATTAGAGTCCATCTGTTTTTCGGAGTTGTTTTCAATCAGTGAAATTACTATCAGGTGTCAGTGCGTGCCCTGTTTTATTTGAAGAACAGGGATCTATCAAAGTTTGATAATTTTTTTGTGGAAGTGTATCATGGCACAAACAAATGAGATCTCTGAGGACCTCAGTCCTGGAACATCATTCCAATCAACCAATCAGAATTGAGGGATAACTTTTCAGGAAATATCTGTTTTAGGCTTACAATCAGGGTTAGGTGCTTCTACACCTTTGTTAATCAGCTATCAGTTCACACTGTTTTTAGGAATAAATTATGGGTAGGGTTAGGTTTAGGGGTAGGGATTGGGTTAAGTCTATATTTTTGGACAGTTATGTTGATCCAGGATCAACAAAAGATGTTGATCCAGGAACATGTCTTACTTGGCAAAATCACGGCGACCGGGGGTCACACCAGATACTGAAAGCAAAGATTCACATACTTTTGCCACTCACAAATATTTAACACCGGATCATTTTTCTCAATAAATAAATGACAAAGTATATATTTTTGTCTCCTTTGTTTGATTGGATTCTCTTTGTCTACTTTCAGGATTTGTGTGATATTTATGCAGAAATATAGAAAATTCTAAAGCAGCACTGTAATACTGTACCTCTGTATTCACATCAAAACACAATCTATTATCAATAGTTGTCCCCAGATATTTACAACTCTCTACACATTCCACATTGTTGTTGCTGGTCTAGCTAGCAAAACATGCTTCCAAAACACAACATAAACCTTTGGACAATAATCCTGGTCTTTTGAGCAGGAATATATTTGGAGGAGTGCTAAATAATGCGTATTTCTCACTGTCTAATACACAAATGTCCTGGGTTATTTGGTGCATCTTTAAACAGAAGACCATTTCTTCTCAATTCAAGCCTCCTTTGAGCTCTTTTTCGACCGTATAACCGAAAAAGCCTACTCTACTTCAAATCAACAGTGGAGAGCTTGTGAAGAATTCAAAAAAAGCCAAGGCCATGTCTTAGCCAAAGGCCCTGTCGGTAATAACTTACAACTCGGTGTCCAGACACAATGTCAATTTACCCAGCCGTCTTGCTAACACTGACTAAGACTGAATAATATTTTTACGCATTCTAATATATCTAACATATTCGGTCCTGAAACAACACAGGAAGCCTGACCATTACACAGGAATGTTTACAGAAAGTGTATCTTTTCTTCCCACAAAATAACTCCCACCCCGTCCCTCAAGGGATACATGTATCTCTCATTATCCTGTGTGCGTTATCTCTGTTGGCTAACTGTATATAGTGCTCCTTTACCCAGACCAATTTTGTAGTGACACAATCCAATTTAGAGAGGAAATAAGATCACAGTTCATGCTAAAAGTGCAGTTTTACCCTGAGCTAATGTGACCAGTGTTCAGTAACTCTGCATCTAATTTACCGTAGCTAGTTTTTCAGTGAGGTGGAGTTGAGCATGTGGGTTACAATTTGATGTCTTTGCCGTTAGTAGCTTGTATTGATTCAGATGGCTTCCCTAATGGCCCTGCTTTGCCCATAAATGCATTTTATGTGTGGGATGGAAAGGGCTGGGCATGAGAATAATTCCAGTTTGCTAGTTTGTGAAGGCAAGCATCACTGCTGTTTCTGCTTAGGGTTAGGGATTTTGACAAACTTGTACAGAAACACTGCTTAGAACACCATAGCAACTTTCTCATAAATTTATGACAAATTAGATGCACATATTTCCCAGTGTAGATCATAATGCAGTGTTTCCACACTGTGCTACCAAAGCTAATGAAGTATGAAGCTGTGAAGTATGTTTTTCTTTTGTTTCCTCAACATGAACAACCCTTGTTCAAATGTTAATGTTTTGTGCAAACCGCGCGTGAGCGTGTTTATCCTTTATGATATGAGTCTTTGTGCCTTTTGTAGCACCAGCAAAACACTGATATGGGACCTGGACAATACACATTTGATGCTGTACAGCAGGGTTTCTCAACCTTTTGCCTACTGCGACCCACTTTTTTTTTGTATGCCAGTCATTGATATTAAACGATTTCTTAGCACGGGTGATGTGGCCAGCTGCCAGATAACTTTTTGAAGCTGTCGTGAGCGACACAATACTACTTTGCTGTCTTTAGAAAGCAGTTTTATGCAAATGACTAACCTCCAGCACACAGTCGAGTGGAGTTTTAGAAAACTCCAAATTCATTAACATTAGAAAGAGGTTAACAGCAAATTGATGTGCGTACACATGTGTTGTGAATTAGATTGTAAATTGTTGTGAGACGTTCTCCTGTGGATACAAATATGAAATAATCCATGCAATTATTAGTGAATGAGACCCACTTTTTACTTCAGGACCCAACTATGTCTCACACTGTCCAAGAAACCAAAGTTTACAATCAAAAGTCAGAGATTTGAATATAAACTCAACTATTTCTCGTCAAAATTGTCCAAAACCAAATGATCTGAGCTGTAATAATCACATTCATTTGATAACACTTTACTCTTGTTGTATGTCAAACTAACTGAGAACTCCACGTCTCAGTAACCACTGAGCAATGAAATGTTACTTTCCTCTGGGTTTTTCCATCGAGATATTTGTGACGGGCTTTTGAATGCCTGCCTTCATAGTCTTGATGTGTGTGTCTTTCTTCACGCTCGTGTCTTTGTACGTTTTGTGTGTTTATCTTTGTAGTATTTGTCCTTGAGCTTTAGATTTCTTAGAAATGTTGCTTTGCTTGTGTGCGTCCATGTGGGTGTTTGGGTAAACTGTTTCTTTTCTTCACTGTTCTCAATGTCTTCTCATCACGTCAGGCATAGCACGCACTGAGAAGGACAAGGGCACACTGTACGAGCTGACCTTCCGTGGAGAGCAGAAGCAGGAGTTCCGCAGGCTGCTTCTCTTCCGCCCCTTCGGCCCCCTCATGAAAGTGAAAAGTGAGCTGGTGGAGACGGCCAATATGCCCATTAACATTGTGCTGCCTCTGTCCCAGAGAGCCGACAAATTCAAACAGTTCATGCACAACTTCAGGTGACTCCACTGTCATTCTTCTCTGTTATTATCTGTTGTTTATCATTCTCTGCACCCTTATTTTTTTTCTTTTTCACAATTCAAACTCTCTGTCTTCCCGGCACTTTCCACAAATAAGGTACACGTTGGTGTCCAATATTTTTTAAAGCATTCATGCCACAGATCCCATGTTGAGAGATTGTTGAACGATTAGATATGCTTCATAAGCTATTACCTATTATTATACCTACTGTTATTGACTCTGCCTAAAATTAAAATCATATAGCAATGTCATCATTATCTGTTCAATTTATATTCAGTTTTAAATTCATTTCAGGGTTTGCATTATTGTACAGTCAACACAAACACAGTGTTTAGTTTTTCATGTGCTTCTGTGGCTCAGTCATGATAAAAATGGTCTCCGTTTAAATATCATTTTCGTGTTTCGCGACCCCCTACGGAATGATCCGCGACCCACTGGTTGAGAAACACTGCTGTACAGTACAGATCTCTCTTTTGTTTTCAGAAGCATGAAAGTACTGAGTGAAATCCTGTTTTTCACTGTCTTCATACCTGACCACCTTCAAGATACTTTTAGTATCTTTTAAGTTATAACCAGGGATGTTACCCAAGCCTCAGATGACCTGGTCCTGTCATCTAAACATCTGCACAGATGCTTCCTGAGAAATCCCTTATCATAATTTCATTCCATAGCTCAGATCATATGAACTTCAAAGAATTACATGAGAAATGTGTGAGTTCAGATTGAAATCTTACTTTTCATTGCAGACTTTTCTAGTGTCTTTTTCTCATAAGAGAAATCTGAGATGCAGGAGACTGTTCTATATGTTCTCCATTCAACCCATTGCTGTCTAAGAGAAACAACTAAGATTAGGGCTGCACTATTAATTGTATTTTAATTGTGATCACAATTTCTGCTTCTCTAGATTAATTAAGCATTATTATCTGTGACATGGACTTGTGGCTATTTATCCTGATATTTTTCCTTCGATATCTTCATTTTGCAGTGGTTAACATAATTTGGAATTATTACTGGAACTAATATTAGGAATTTCGCTGCTTTGGCTTTTGAGAGAAGCCTCTTAAGGTTTTATCAGTTCTCAGAGTGTATGTTAATGTATATGATAAATATAATAAATAAGGAAACTTGATAAAGGTAAAATAAAACATGTATCAGTTGATTTTCTCTTGATTTTGCTTACATGAAAGTTCAATCATTCTGATGAAATGTAAAAAGAAATTAAAACAATTGTGACTTATAATCAGTTATATATATTTTTTTTTTTTTGGAAAATAATCATGATCGTCAGTTTAACCATTATTGTGCAGCCCTAACCAAGATATTAAAAAGATCTCATGTCTTGTTATATCATATCAGTCTCGTTCTATTTCACTCTTAATGCCAACATTTGATTTTGTATGATGGTTATAAATTATGAATTTTCATATACAGTAATAGGAAAGACAAAATAACAAATTAGATCTTGTTGATATCTCTATTACTTTCTTAGACAATAAAAGATTAAATGAACCACAGTGGGTCTCATTTACTAAGCATTTATGCACACATTTGTGTGTGAAATCTGCATATGAACATTTTTATGAACAAATCATGATTCCCCAATACCTTTCATACTAAAATTTGTTCTAAGTTTACGATAATGCACATATATTTCATCATATACAGTAAAAGAGTAAGAAAGACTGTGTTGTAGCTTGACCTGCGAGGTTTCTCTGTACAGCTATGCAGATTTACTATGTATGTACAGCTGAATAATGAGAAGTCTGTAATCTGGGTTTGTATAAAAGGTGTTTATTGTGTTTGAGCACACATACTTGGTATTGCTTGAGGATTTTGCTGCATGTGCTCTCAGGTAAAAGCATGATTTTAGATAACATCATATGTTTGCTGAGAGTGACAAAAGATTGCCCAGAAAGCAAGATGGTCCTCACTGCAGAACACAAGATCCAGGGGGCGTGGTTGGATCCAGATCCAACTCCTCCCACCTTACATATACCTAAACTTACCCGTCTCCACCCCCTGATCCCTAAACCCACCTACAGTGGGTACGGAAAGTATTCAGACCCCCTTAAATTTTTCACTCTTTGTTATATTGCAGCCATTTGCTAAAATCATTTAAGTTAATTTTTTTTCCTCATTAATGTACACACAGCACCCCATATTGACAGAAAAACACAGAATTGTTGACATTTTTGCAGATTTATTAAAAAAGAAAAACTGAAATATCACACGGTCCTAAGTATTCAGACCCTTTGCAGTGACACTCATATATTTAACTCAGGTGCTGTCCATTTCCTCTGATCATCCTTGAGATGGTTCTACACCATTTGAGTCCAGCTGTGTTTGATTATACCGATTGGACTTGATTAGGAAAGCCACACAACTGTCTATATAAGACCTTACAGCTCACAGTGCATGTCAGAGCAAATGAGAATCATGAGGTCAAAGGAACTGCCTGAAGAGCTCAGAGACAGAATTGTGGCAAGGCACAGATCTGGCCAAGGTTACAAAAAAAATTCTGCTGCACTTAAGGTTCCTAAGAGCACAGTGGCCTCCATAATCCTTAAATGGAAGACATTTGGGACGACCAGAACCCTTCCTAGAGCTGGCCATCCGGCCAAACTGAGCTATCGGGGGAGAAGAGCCTTGGTGAGAGAGGTAAAGAACCACCCAAAGACCACTTTGGCTGACCTCCAGAGTTGCTTTGTGACGGGCTTTTGAATGCCTGCCTTCATAGTCTTGATGTGTGTGTCTTTCTTCACGCTCGTGTCTTTGTACGTTTTGTGTGTTTATCTTTGTAGTATTTGTCCTTGAGCTTTAGATTTCTTAGAAATGTTGCTTTGCTTGTGTGCGTCCATGTGGGTGTTTGGGTAAACTGTTTCTTTTCTTCACTGTTCTCAATGTCTTCTCATCACGTCAGGCATAGCACGCACTGAGAAGGACAAGGGCACACTGTACGAGCTGACCTTCCGTGGAGAGCAGAAGCAGGAGTTCCGCAGGCTGCTTCTCTTCCGCCCCTTCGGCCCCCTCATGAAAGTGAAAAGTGAGCTGGTGGAGACGGCCAATATGCCCATTAACATTGTGCTGCCTCTGTCCCAGAGAGCCGACAAATTCAAACAGTTCATGCACAACTTCAGGTGACTCCACTGTCATTCTTCTCTGTTATTATCTGTTGTTTATCATTCTCTGCACCCTTATTTTTTTTCTTTTTCACAATTCAAACTCTCTGTCTTCCCGGCACTTTCCACAAATAAGGTACACGTTGGTGTCCAATATTTTTTAAAGCATTCATGCCACAGATCCCATGTTGAGAGATTGTTGAACGATTAGATATGCTTCATAAGCTATTACCTATTATTATACCTACTGTTATTGACTCTGCCTAAAATTAAAATCATATAGCAATGTCATCATTATCTGTTCAATTTATATTCAGTTTTAAATTCATTTCAGGGTTTGCATTATTGTACAGTCAACACAAACACAGTGTTTAGTTTTTCATGTGCTTCTGTGGCTCAGTCATGATAAAAATGGTCTCCGTTTAAATATCATTTTCGTGTTTATGTGCCAAGTTATGGAATATGTTATGAAAATATCAGTATTGGATATTATAGTATATTGGATATTACAGTATTTGCAACTCAAAGCCTGCATTTATTTGATCACAATTTCCAGTAAAAACAGTAATATTGTGACATTTAAAATAACTGTGTTCTATGTTAATATATTTCAAAATGTAATTTATTCCTGTGATGGTAAAGCTGAATTTTCAGCATCATTACTCCAGTCGTCAGTGTCAATTAAAATCATATAACAGTTGTCATCTTTATTTGTTGGATTTATATGTAGTTCCTTTTCGTACAGAGTTTGCATTTTGCATGCAATCGTGTTATCGCATGATTTACCTCATTATAAAAAATGTAAAACATCAACAAGTTTGGACCCTTATACAACATGAGTGGAATTAAATCATTTTATTCCATTTCTCAAATTTTACAAAACCATAGATTTTGTTTTCTTTAATTTATGGAAAATATAATTTTACCATTAACATCTAGTTCCAGACTAGCTTGTCCCTGCTGAGTCTGTAGTATATTGTATATTTTGTATATTTAATTTGAATGTCTATTTTTAATGTTTATTGCTAGACAATAACAAAATTACACAAATCAGGATTCAACTTTTAGTAATAGCAAAAATCACAAATAAATAAATAAATAACCAAAAATGCATTTTTTAAATGGTTTTGGGGCCTATTTTGTACCCTATTTGTGAAAAGTTTCTTCAGTCTTTTTCCTCTACATCTGCCAGTCTTTCTCAGTCATTTTTCTTCAACCTCTACAGCCTATTTTACATCTAATTTCTGTTTTTTTTATTTTTTTATTAGTGCTTCCGAGCAGTGTTTAAAGAGTCTTATATTAGGCATTGAGTGAACACTTTGACCTCATTCTTGTTTCAGAGGCAGGAGAGGACAAACAGGGGATTGTGGGTTACGTTCACATACACAATGAGCTCAATGCCAGCAGAGCCATCAAACTAATTTGTTGTGACGTGTACATGGTAGTGCAGTGCATCTAGATAGTGGTTGTGCTCTCAAAACAAACAGTGTTTCGTTTTTTTCATGCACTTTTGTGGCTCAGTCATGACAGAAATTATTAGTCTAAATCATTTCTGTGTTTATGTGCAAAGTTATGGAATATGTTATGAAAGAATGAATATTTGATATGCAATATCAAAAAGACATTAAAGGCGCAATATGTAAGATTTTTTTATTAAAATATCCAAAAACCACTAGAACAGTGTTATATATTTTGCTGACTTGTGTACTTCCATTATCCCAAATGTTTCGAAGAATGTTTAAATCCAGAGAAATAAGCAATTTTAACTAGTGATACGAAGCGTGTCCATAGTGTCATTGTGTCGCCTGCCAATGACATCATAAACCCCCTCGATTTCCGGTTTTGTTTTGTAGAAAACATGGAAAAACCAAAGACGCTTTAATATGAAACAAATTTCATTACACCAAATACACAAAATAATGTTCTTTTTAGCAACATCATATGACCCCTGTAATAGGCTATTTAATAGTAGTTTCCATTCCAACTAACCCCATACAGTGTGACAACATGCCACATTTTAGGAATGTTGTCACAAAATGTCAACATGTGCTTCTTAAACTGTATCCTGGGCAATAACAGTGAAAATGTTAATTTTATAAATATACAAAAAAAATGCATATTTATTAATGCTTTTGCAATGTAAAACCTTTTACCATGCCAGGAAATTTTACTGAACCTGAAATAACAAAGAAATGCAATGACAGAAGGCATGATATTGGACCAAAAATGGACATACAATTACAATGGGGATTTATGTTTCGAGTAGTTATTTTTTTAACCTTTACTAACATACTGGACTGAACTTGGCAAACACCTGCTCTCTGTATCATTCATATAATTCAGACTAAATAAACCACCTTCGTTCATGCCATTAAAAAGAGAACACCATTTTGTTCATTCATACCGATAACGCAGTTTAATGCAAATTGGAATTCCTTCCATAATCTGATACAATGTTTTATAAGTTACTGGTAACATATATGATTATTCTATTACTGCTCACCTGTAATTGTTTAGAGGAGTGTGGCAGTGAGACGTCTGCATGGCTGACAAGGCCCCTCGAACATAGCAGACTTCGTTTATGTGCTTATGCCAAATACTCCATGCACAATATTTTATCTACATAAAAAACTACAACTACAATGGCGAAAAGTGAGGGGAAAAGGTGCGATATTTGCAACTGTTACCAATTTCAACACCGCTACAATGAACGATGCACTAGAAAGCGGAAGCTGTCGTGTATTCTTTCGACAGAAGGAACATTACGAGTTGGCTACACTTATCGCCCTCTGTAGTTTAGGAGTATTGTTAACGCATTCTCTCAACCTTTCTCCCTTCCTGGGCAAATCCGTGTAAAATGGTAAAATGGGGTGTTACAGTTTGACGATGTTATTATAACAGAAAACTTTCTTTCTCCCGTTTGCGCTTTTCACAGCTGAAATTGTTTACCCAGGCGTAAACCCTGGGGAATGTAATCTCGGGTTATTTTATTCTACTTTCCACACTGTTCATACTTTACGCTTGGTTAATTTTAGATCACACACTGTTTCTAAATTCAAAGTTAATTTCTTATTTGCTTATTTATGACGTCAATAACATTGAGCCCCTACTGATAGTTGCGTGAACTTTTATAAGAACTGCTTGTCCAAAATTGGAAAAGTTGCCAACTCCACCGTCTGTCTAAAACGTACAAAAAGCCTTCTGGATGAAAATAATGTAAATAAAACGTAAAAAAAAAAAGTTAATATATTTTAAATGGTTATGGTTTCAGAAGAACACCAAGACCACTTCTAAGGGCGTCTCTATATCCGCACTGAGTGTGTCTGATTGGTCGAGTAGCGCGATAGAGTCTCTGATTTCACTTCAGAAACAGCATCACTGCGACGTACTTGTAAGTATAATATCCTAATTACTTAAGACCACATATATTATGAAATGAATACCTTGTTCAAAGCATGGATCGTAGAGCGCAAACTTTTTTAGTTTGTTTTAGGAAGACCGAAGTTCTACCATCTGATGTTTATTTCCGATGTTTCAAATGAATTTATTTACGATAGCCTTTACATTAATGTACATAAAATGCGATTTATGTAATTTAGAGAATATGTTCCTTGACATAGAGATTTAAATTGTCGCATAATTTTGTTTCTAATAGGATGAAAAAAGTGAAAGTTTGAGGTTGCAATGGCCAAAGTAAATATTTGAATGACCTCAAACAAATGGAAAGAATGAAAGCTCACAATTACATAGCAAATAGATATTTTTGTGCTGTTGTCATATAAACTGATTGCACTGTACCCTTATTTTTCGAGGTCTGTCGCTAAGCAATATTACGGTAGGCTACCAGAGAGAGAGTGAGACTTTAAATACTACATAAGTGCAGTGCATGTAGTTCCCTAAGGCAACAGAATACGTGGCTATACCCTCTCTCTGAAACGGTTATACTGTATGTCTATGTGTACAGTTTCACTTTCTTGATTTTATCTGGCCTATTCACAAGTGCAATGGTATTGCTTTCAGTTAAACAGTATACCCTGATAGCACACGTACATCTCGGAGACGGTCTGCATTTACATCTGCAAGACGTATTTTTTAGAGAGTTTGCTCATCTGCAATACGTCTATAGGACGTTTCCTTTTAAATGTCAAACAGACGTCTATTAGATGTCTTTAAGATGTTTATGATTTAGAATGTATGTAAAACTGACATCTGAAAGAGGTCTGTCAGACGTTTGTAGACAGCAGATTCTTTCCGGATCAAGAGACCTTTAACAGATATCTTGCAGACGTACGTGTGCTATCTGGGATAGGCTAATATTACATTTTGTTGACAGATTAATTGGCTCTGTATTTATGTATTTATTTATTTTTAAATATTACGCCTGATATTGTGTCCTAGTACGAGAAAAAGCCAGAGCCCGGAGACCTCATTGAAATCTCCCGAGGCTTATACCAGCACTGGGCTATTTATGTTGGTGAAGGTTATGTGATTCACCTGGCACCACCCTGTGAGTATTTTACATGCATGCCTCAAATGATATTGAGCCTAACTTGCATTGAATCTGAAACATTCCATTTAAAGGCACATTATGTAAGATTTTTTTTATTAAAATATCCAAAAACCACTAGAACAGTGTTATATATTTTGCTGCCTTGTGTACTTACATTATCCCAAATGTTTCGAAGAATGTTTAAATCCTGAGAAATAAGCAATTTTAACTAGTGACATGGACCGTGTCTATAGTGTCATTGTGTTCGCCTGCCAATGACGTCATAACCCCTCGATTTTTTGTTTTGTAGAAAACATGGAAACACCAAAGACGCTTTAATATGTTGTGCGTTTTAATAGACCGGTGACGACCGCACAGAGTAGCATTATAACAGAACTTTCAAATGTATCTAGTATGATAAAACAGCGCTGATTTTTTTCCACATACGCACGACTGGAAGGAGCGGTAGCAGTTGACTGTGGTATAATAAAAGCTCCGCTGCTTTCGAACCGTGTGTCGCGGCTCGTTCAGCGTCTCGTTTCGCTTCGACGGCTTTCAGCCACACCTGCTTCATTCTACTACGTTAATAAATCATTAGCTCATCCATGAACATGATTTCTGCCCGAGTCCCGTCGGATTGCATCGGCTGTGGGGATGAAGACGACAACTCCCATGATTCCACACTCAGTCACGGCGTCATCAAACTACGGCTTTGTCTCTTTGTTTATTTTGAATACGCACCCTCTAGCAGCGAAAAATTACATATTGTGCCTTTAAGAGAGGCATCTAAAGTTTTTTTGCTCACTAAAACTGCATTTATTTAGTCAAAAATACAGTAAAAACAGCAATTAGAAAAGAAATTAATTAGAAAAGTCTTTACTATCACTTTTGATCAATAAAATTTTTCTTTGCTAAATAAAATTAGAAATTTATTTTAAAAAAATCTTACTGACCCCAAACTTTTGAACAGTAGCAGTGTTGGGGGTAACACATTACAAGTTACGTAATCAGATTACTTTTTTCAAGTAACTAGTAAAGTAACGCATTACTTTTTAATTTACAAGAGAATATCTGAGTTACTTTTTCAAATAAGTAATGCAAGCTACTTTTAAAAAAAATTATTGACTGACAGCTCTCCTGTCCCCATGTTGAGAGAAATCAGAAGATGTTACTGTAGTTCTAAATAAATATGAATATGAATTAATTCATCTC